TATCCTGTTCATTCTTTGTTTTCCTGAGATTAAAAAAGTCAAGCTAAGTCTCATTTCATAAGATAGGCTCTCCATTCACCTGATCAACCTAGTAGCCTGTCTACACCTGATGGGTAGAAGAAAAGGGTGCCTCTCTTACAGCAGGGTCTACAGTGCCTCTCTTACAGCAGGGTCAGGGTTTGATTAGATGAATCTGAAAAATGGCTGCACAAACTGAAGCTCCAAAATACTGGGGATTCATCTATCACATGTTGTAATTTAATGATTCATTTAATTGAGAAACATTTCAATGCCAGTAATGAAGTTACTTGTACACAATTGTATTTGACATAAATTGTGCAATAATTGGTTAATTAAAATAGTTTACTAATTTACTATCTAGCTTGCTGGCTGAGATTTGTGCAATATTGAAATGGTTTGCGAATAGACTTTGTTGTTTTTGCAAAAACTCATATATATTTAGGCATTATTACATTACAAAATAATAATTCATTGCATTTTCTTCCTTCCCAGTTGCCCATATTGGCATCTTCAGTTGTTAGCCTCTATTTTCTTGAACTCACTGATGTTTTCAAGCCAGTTCACTCTGGATTCAACTGCTATGACAAAAGTCTGAGCATGCCATATATTGAACCTACACAAGAGGCTGTTCCTTTCCTGATGCTGCTTAGTTTGGTTTTTGCTGGGCCTTCAATTACGGTGAGTAACAGATGCTTTCACTTCTAATACAAGATTTTGGCACAGATATCCAGTCAGTGTAAAACACTTTAGCCCCATTGACCTTACTGAAGCTACTCTGAATCATACTCACTGATGTCCTGATTCTAGGTTTTAACATATAATTTTTATTTTTCTATAACAAAAGGTGATGATAAGTCCAAACTTTTAGCTAAAAGTAGGAAGATATTTTAAGTGTATATTGGCTTCCAATGGAATTTAGCCTTGTAGATCTCATTAGAAAATACTTATTAACTCTAAACAGTACAATGGTAATTCCAATGAAGTGGGTTTTTTAACATAATTTCACATAGATATGTGCACATATATCTTAATATGGAATGTACATTGAAATCATAGGAAAGTTTCCCTGGTAATAATTTATACTGAAATGGCACTGGGAATTGGAAAGCCAGAACAAAATAATTTTGGGAGACACCTTTAAATGCAGTCACTTTATTTAGTCTTTTACACTCAATACATTCAAATATTCTTTCATACGTACCATATTTTGTTTGTTTGTTTTTTCCTCAAGAAAATGTTTCTAGGTTTATAGAGAATGAGAAATTCTGTTCCCACTTACATTCCCCCATTCTGATATATCAATGAGGCTACTGACGTTTCATGGATATAAGACCATAGAATACTAAATTTTTTTCTGACAGCAAGAAACAGCAGGAAATTTCTGCTTAATGTGAAAGCAGCAAAAAACAGTCTTATTGACTACTGACAACAAACTGTTTAGTTATGATTGAGAGTCACCCCTCCTGGAATGACTGGGCTTTGCATAGAGAACAAAAAAGTGTGGAATGAAATGTATACCAGAGGAATGGAAAGAAAATCAGGTTCTCTGTATTCTCTCAATTAGGGTGCTGACAGATGTGCAAGCCCCTGCTCTAACTCATGGCACTTTACATAAAGCACCATAAGTTACAGCAGCCCCTGTGACCCAAAAGACATTTATCTGCTGGGTTGAGAGGTAGGGGTGGGGGAGGGGGGGAATCACTCACTTGATGAGAGTTAATTTTTTGCGCAATTGGCCACTTTTAAAGCACTCTTAAGCCATGCACGTGTGTAACCTCATGGCCGTAGAGTGCTTTCAGGGGGCCAGTCACACAACAAATGTAACTTCTGTCTGCATCCTTAGTCTCCTCTAGAGTGTTTTTTGGCTATGCAAATGGATTAAATTCAGATCCTATTTACCATTCCTGACAAATCAAATGCCTCTTTAATGATGGCCTTTGTCCCTGCCCCCTGCTTCCACCGCCAGTGTGCTTTTTTCTTTGCCCTCAGGCCAGCCTGGATATCCACGCTCAGCCATGAAGGTTTCTTGGACCCTTTTCCCACCTTCCTGCGCAGTGGAATTGCATCCTGCTGCGCCCCAAGAATAGCCTCCTTGAGGAAGGACCACCTTCCTGGACCCCCATACTAGCTACCCCCTGGCCTCCAAGTGCCTTCCTGACTACTGCCCTGAGCACATCAAAGTTGGCTTTCCTAAAATCAAGCATTTGCGCTGTGCTAGTTACCCTCCCCACCTTTCTCTGAATAGCAAACTGGATCATTTCATGATCACTGTCCCCTAGCCTCCCTTGTACTAGCAC